ACGAAACCAAAGATAAACCCGAAAAGGGAATAGAAGAATCAAAATAATTCTGAAAATCAAAATAACCCTAAAATATATATATATATATATAAAGAGCCCTAAAAAGTGAACCCTAAAAACGATACCACTAAATGGACCAAGATGAGAAAAATCAAGAAGAAACATTTACAAAACAGTGGCTTAGAGAAATACGAATTGAACTACAACAATTCTAAGAAAAACTTATAACAGGAAACAACTAATTTTTATACAACCAGATCGAAGAGAAGTAGTAAATTTAACTGGAATTGAAAGAAGAGATTGCTCTATCAATCAAGAAGAAAGAACTACACTACTTGAAAAACTTAAATGACATGCCCTAGATCTAAACCTTGAAGAAGGATTAAATACAACTTATCGAGGGATAATTAACCAAATTATCCAGATAACTAACTGTCAAGAATTATATTACATTAAACAAGAGCTAGGACAACAATATAATATATGAACCATCAACAATAGAAGACCAACCAACAATGGATTACCATGACCAAATTATCGAACCAATGTCATTGCAACCAATGTTGGATAATACAACTACAAATGGAACTAAAAACCAAACAGCTTTGGATCAACAAGCAAATCCAAAAGCAATCTGCTCTATATGCTAAGGAGATCATGGACTACGATATTGCCCAGAACATATCTGTCAAGTGGGTACGCACTAGACGGGCTTCTAGTGTTAGTTTAGCTCAGATCGGGGCACTTTGGGTTCACCAGCGAACACACAGCACTCGGCAGCACCTCCTTCAATTCCGGAGCAACACCCTAACTTTATGGAACACACACAACCACTTGAGGAACCACAGGTTTGTATTTTATTTAACTAAGTGATTTCTTATTATCTGGAAGGAGAACTGGATTCTCTTACGAATCCTTTATTCTATTTATATCAATTCTCTGACTACAAATTGGTTTTATCAAACCATATATCGATGACTACATATTTAATGCAAGATTACGCACAAACAACAATAGACTACATCTATGACATACATATTACGAATAAACTACTTATGCATTAGATCATTGATCTATCAGATCAATATCTGTTACCCGATCATCACGGGCACCACGTGCCCACGTGATATTACGATCCTGATTTCCGAACCCCAACATTCCACGAACGTAGTATACAGGGGTTTGGTCTTCATCGTGACAGGAGCTAGACCCCCCATGAGCTTCGTCCTCGAAGTCACCTTCTTGCTGATTCATCCATTCAGGTCTTTGCTTTAATCTTTTCACCCGGTTTCTTGTAAAAGGATCTGCTAAGGCACTTCCATCCATTTCGTTCAAATATAGGTGGCCTTTTTCTCCAATCCTTCGTACAATGTATGGACCGTTCCATCTATAGTTTAGTTTCCGGGGTGAATTATCAAGTGTTGAATCATAAACAAGTACAAAATCACCAACTTCGATCTTTTCTTTATACGTATTTGCATGATAATCGTGAAATTTCTTCCATTGCTCCCGAAGTTCATCCCGATTTACCTTTGCTTCTTTTAATTCATGTACTAGTCCTTTCATTTGTTCTGTCCTAAAAGCCAATAATTCATCAGTAGTCCAAGTTTTCTTAGTTATAAAAACTTGATAACTTTTGAGAGTTAATTCAATTGGGGTTATCGAATCACGACCATATACCAGTCTGAAAGGTGAGTAACCCAAATCCCCTACAGTAATGTTGAGCGCCCAAACAGCAGCACGCAAATGTTCATGCCAGCGATTTTGTGCTTGCGCACTGACCTTTCTTAAGATACGAGTAAGTTTTTGCACCGTTCGTTCAGCCCTACCATTGGCTTCCGGATGGTAACTGGCTGTGAATTGCTGTTTTACTTGCAATCGTGCAGTTAATTCCTCCATTAATCTATTTTTAAATTCTGTACCTCTATCCGAGGTTAATTCAGCGAAGCACCCGTGCCTGGTAATTACTTCGTCCCAAATAAATGCTGCAATCGCTTTTGCATTTTTATTTCTTAATGCTCGTGCCTCAATGTATCCAGTTAGATCTTCAACTGCGACTACTATGTGTTCATGGCCAGCAGAAGTTCTGGGCAAAGGCCCAATGCAATCGATATAAAGTCGATGGAAAATCCAACTCGTGGCAGTCACGTGGATAGGCTCCGGTAATTGCTTACTGATACATTTTTGACAAATTTGACAAGATGCTACATACTTTTTTACATCTTTATATATGCTACCATTGCCCCACACATAGTTCAACAGAATTTTTCTAACTGTGCCATTCACACCACGATGTCCACCTTCTTCTACGAGTCCTTCATGATTTGCCTTCATAATGTTGGCCTTTTCTTTATCATCCGTAATTACTCTTCGCGGTGGTTTGTTATTAACTGACCTTCGAAACAATTGTCCTTCAATTATACAATACCTTTTGACTTTGTTTTGGAGCCTTGGTAAGTGTTCCTTTTGTACATCGTAGGGCCAATGCATTTTGATTAAGTAAAATTTAATTATCTTCAAATCCTTTATACATTGATCATCCTCATTAGTCACGCTTAACAGCAGTGAGTCAACAAATTCCTCGTCCAAAGGACGATTTTCAGGTAATACTGGATCGGGATATCGTGATAAACCGTCAGCATGTCCATGTTTTTTACCAGATTTGTACTTTACATTAAAATCGAATGCTTGCAAAGCTACTACCTATCGCATCAAACGTCCTTTTAACTGGGCTTTGTTGAATAGCCATTCTAAGGCTTGGTGGTCGACCCATACATCAAAAGTAGTACCTGCCACGTATCTTTCACACATATTACAGCCAAAGACTATGCCTAAGCATTCTCTTTCGGTTATAGTATAATTCAACTCATGCGAGTTTAACTTTCGTGACTCAAAAGTTACAGGGCGAAGCATTTCCAGATCATCTTTCTGTTCAAGAACTACACCTAATGCAAAATCACATGCATCGGTACTCATTTGATAAGGGCGACTTCCATTCTTGGCATCTTGCCAATTCGGTCCTTTTAACATTACATCATCTGTTATTTTTCGTTTTAACCACTGAAACGATTCGGCTTGTTCTTTGCTCCATTTGAAGTCAGTGTTGTTCTTAGTTAATTCCGTAAGCGGTTTAGCGATTGCGCTAAAATTCTTTACAAACCGACAGTAGTAGTTCACAGTGCCTAAGAAAGCACGAACTTCTTGAACGTTTCTTGGGGTTTTCCATTCGCTTATTTTAATTTTTCGGCTTGGATCAGGTTTTATACCCTGTTTGCTGACAATAAATCCATACATGTTCAATTCTTTATACAGCAGATGGCACTTTTTTGCCGCGAAGGTAAGACCGGCATTTCTGAATGTCTTTGCAAGTTTGACAAACATGTCAACATGCTCCTCAATCGTCCCCCGGGTCCAAAGCCCAATATCATCCTGATATGCGGCCGCAATATTTCTCCATACTTCATCTTGAAGTAAAATGTCCATTAAACGCTGAAATGTTTCACTAGCGTTTTTGAGTCCCATACACATAACAGTGTAGCGCAATACACCAAGTGGAGTAGCCACAGCTACTTTGTCTTTATCTTCATCATGAATTTTTATTTGCCAATAGCCTTTGTAGGCATCTACACTTGAATACCAGTCGTGTCCAACGGCTTTTTCCAAAATGTCACGTATGATCGGTAAAGGATATCCATCTTTGATTATATATTTGTTTAGTGGCCTCATATCGTCAACTACTCTTAGTTTATCAGTACCGCCTTCTTTCTTTTTAACCGGAAAACAATAATAAGCATATTGGCCCATGCCTTTTTCCAGAAGACCATATTTTAACATATCTTTCATTTGATCTTCGAACATTCGGGCGTGTTCCGGATTGTTGATTCTTACTGGACGTACATGCATAGGGGTATCTCTTTTCCGCCAGTTCTTATTTCATACTGGATTAAATCCGTTTTCCCTATTTCTGACATATCGAATGCGAATACATCGGGAGTTTCCTTCATTAATCTTTCTTGCACCCAACATCGTTCTTTAGGAGAAATGCAGTCTCCAAAGTTTAATTCATTACAATTGTCTTTGGTTAATCTCATTATAATATTAGGGTCTGTTCCTTTTATGGTACCATCATTTCGTTTACTCTCGTGTGACCAATAAATCACCTGACCAACAAAATTCTTTCCTTCTAAATCATGTGAATTTATAGGTTCTACCTCTCTTACACTAAGTCGATTCGAATTTTCAGCCATTCGTATAATACTTTTCCACTCTTTATTGTTGTTATGCATTATGCTTTCGTCAATTTCAACTCGACGCATAGTCATCATATCGTCGGTATCAGTGTCATCATCATATTCGTTATCTTCTTCTGATAAGTTGATCCATGCCTTAGGAACAATGGATGCCACAAATGAAGCCTCTTTGAGGTCAGACTTTATAGTACACCATAATTTATTATTTTTCCATTTTAAATTACATTTCGCCGCAGCGAGCCAGGGCATTCCCAATAAGACTTCAAAGCTTGCGGCTTTCATTACATAGAACCCTTGTAGTACTCTAACGCCTTCTACTATTACTTCGACATTAGGAATATATCCTGCAAATTCACTTAAACGGTCATCAGCCATTCGACCTTTGCTGTTTACAGTTTTCCACGTTAATCCTTTTCGTTTGGCAAATGCTTCATGCATAAGGTTCAATCGTGAACCAGGATCAATAGGAGTTTCAACTACTTCACTATTGATTCTTGCCATCGCAACAGGAACGTTACCTACTTTTAAGTTCAGATCTGTTTGTATTCCTCGTACAATTCTGATTTCAGCATTTACCGACAATACGTCATTTTCCTTTTTCTTTCTAGTCAATCCTTTAAGCACTTCGGTTCTAGCTTTTGGAGACCATTTGAATAATTGTCCCAATGTAATTGGAAGTTCGAGCGATGCAATTTGCTTCAGAACGTCCAATTCTTGTGTTAATTCTGACATAGGGATATACATTATTGATCACTTTTTGTATTGTTCAGTTTCTTCGGGTGTTTCAATGTAAGTACTTTTCTGTGCCCATGAAGGCATTTCGTGTTCGTCCTCTACTCGTCTTCGTTTGCCCAAATTTCTTACATCAAACAATGATTTGCCTTCTTCGGCTTTTATCATCAGGTATTCATCACTTTCGCCTTTTACTATATCATTAATCTCAAAATAACGCACATTTATACCCTTATTTCAGGGTTACCGGCTTCATTACTCGTTATCTCATTTCTTTGATTGGTGGGTTGTTGATGCAGAGTTCTGGTAGGACAATTGCGAGCAATGTGCCCTTCTTGATCACATTTATAGCACCTTCGAAGCCTATTTACTTGATTCTAGTTATTCATGTTTTGATCTTGTGTTGCATTATTCATCCTTTGATTACGTCGTGCATTAGGTGGTTTATTCTCTTTAAGGCTTATAATGGCTTTTGTTAACTCTTTGATGCTTGATTCCATTTTGCTCATTCGGTCATCTTGGTCTGCATTCTGATCAACACGGCAGATTTTCATGGCATTAAAAGCTGTTGTAAGATCGTCCATATCCGATTTTGTTACATTAGATTCATTAGTTGTATCCTTAAAAGGCACGTATTCATTGTCTTTATTATATTTTTCCACCTTCAAAGCCCAATCTTTGGCATCATTATATATTTCGGGACATTGCATTTCCACCTTTTCTCTAAAAGGTTCTCTTAACCCTTGTATGTACCATTGCCGTTTCTCATTTTTTCTTATTTCAGTCTCAACTAACTTTGCACAAGCATCAAACCGATTGGTGTAGGCTTTTATTGTATCATTAGACTTTTGCTTGATGCTCCTTAATCGTTCCATTTTTTCTTCTTTATCACAAGATGCTTGAGCCCCACTTATGATCGCGGCTTTCAGGTCTGTCCATGTTGTCTGGGCTTTAATTTGTTCACGAATCCAGGGTTTCAGGTCTTCGGATACATGGAGTCTAACTACTTGTCGTTTTTTAGCATCATCCCAATCCTTTGATGCACAATATGCTTCGTAATCCTCAAGAAACTCTTCTACATCTTCATCGTTATGACCATGATAAATGGGTTTTCTTGAGTCGGAACCCCCCATTCTTTGTTGCCCGGATAAGTCTTGCTTTATTATGTACGTTAAATGTGGCGCTAAAAAAAAAAATTTGCCCTCTTTTTTTTTTTTTTTTTTTTTTTTTT